AGGCAAGCATTGACGTGTGATGTGGCAATTCGTGCACCTGCCTTCCAACTGATCAAATGCCACCTAAGGATTTATGAATGGTTAGCCAGTGGCAAAAGCCGTGGCTTAATCTTCTGCAATGCAGCAGACGGTTCAACAGTTGAGTTATCTCATGCGGCATGTAAGGCGTCCCAGTCATGGTTATTGAAATGTGGAATGGACACCGACTCTCCCATCCCTGCACGTTGCCAATTCTCCTACCGACACAGCCAAAGAATGACGGATGTAGCCTTCCAGCCCCTCTCCATGCCAGTTGCACCCCTTCGTCTATGCTGCCTTGGCTTAGTCCCTCATCAGCCAAGAGTGGCGACACTGCAGCTTAAAATAGCGAGTAAGCATACACCCACTCTAACCCAATGCAGTGAATGCCAGGCCATTGTGTGCATTTGCTGTTTTGATGAATACTTCCGTGAAAAAAGAAATCCTGAAGATGATTGACAACACGGGGAACGTTGAGACTGCATTACAACCACTACCAATCACATGCGGTGCACACATTCCTTACCTCAACTTGCAGGACGTGAGACATGCAGCCTTATGAGCCTCCCGGTTGTGTAAACGCCGAAGAAAATGTGGCAATGCTGATTCACCATAAGTCTTGTTTGTCCCGAAGCCGCCTTCATGTTAAAGAAGTAATACATCGTCCAGCCATCTGCCTCATGCATTAAATAGTTGAATGGCAGAGCCAAATGCGAGAGGACGAGATTTCTGCTGTGGCGCATCGACACTTGCCGGAATGCGTGATTAGAGAGAATAGTGGGAAGGCATATAACTATGGGATGTAGTATTGTGAGGTAAAGGGGCACACAGCTACTGGCATGGACCAGAGGTAAGCACACACGGCAAAGAAAGATTGTTCAAGGCACCAATTGCCCCTTTACTAAAAGAGCTAAACAACAGCCGACTGGTTACCTAGTCCCTCTCCTCTTCTCTGCCTCATCCCCAGCGCTCCCCTTCGACAATCTTCCGCCTCACACAACACAACGCCATCGGTGCTGAAGATCACACAGGCCCTAACACAGCCAGTCACCAAATTGCCATTTAACGAAGGAGATACATGAGCACAGCATCTCTGATCCCTCTTAGCACTTTCACTGCAACCGCAGCTTCGTCTTGTATGCTAAGTGTGGTGCTCATGGCACCTGTAGTAGCAAGTTGTTGGAACACTTAGAGAGAAAGCATTCAATAAAAGGCAAAGATGAATCTACCACGGATCCGTGAGGTGGATTTTTCGTTTTGTCCTCCTTACCACCTTGTTCCTACTTCAAAGTTGGCCAGGCATTGCTGCTTTAGCCCTGACCAGTAAGAAGAGGTAGTGGAGGTGTGGCTAATCTACACCATTTTTATCCTTATGCAGGTACAGAAGGCATCTCTGCAACGGTATGGCAATAATTTTGAGGAGGGACTCAAAGCTGCAACATACGATCTCCGCCTCCATCCTCAACGCCAGATGATAGTCCTCATCCACCCTACTCTCCCCAACATTGGTTTTCGCCTACAGTAGAGGCCGGTTTCATCCGCCACTCTCACATCAAACAATGCAGCCACAACTGCACTTACTTATTCATTGATGAGGAAAGACAGAGTCTCATCACACACACTACCACCTTCTCTAATAAACATGCTCTTCTACATCCACCACAACATGCCTTCCAACGCTCACCTACAAACAGGACCACGCAGTCCCACCACCCATTATCAGCCATAACAAGCACTGTAGCGACAGCACCAACTCGTCCGTCCACCTGATCAAGTTAGCGACGGAGAAGCGACAGACAATTCGTGCAGGCCTACTTCGCCACACGTCCAATGCATGCTCAATCCCAACACTCCCGTATTGCCGTCCCTCGTACGACATCACCAGATGAGCTCACCCTTCCTTCATCCTAGCCTGTCTGTTCCCACACGCCTCCCATGCAATCAGGTAACTGCCACACCACCTGAACAAGTCCATGCATTCGCCTTCTTCACACCAGCATACCTACATCAATTCCATACCTCCCCACTTGCCCCAACCACTCTAACAGTGCTACCGTCATGTCGCCTTCTATGAGTTGGTGCTGCGCAGACCAATGGACGTTGGTGGCAGAGGGGCACACAGCGCGACGGTTTGTAGAGAAGAAGAAAGCGTAAAGAGTGATTTGCATCGTATGTGCAGAAGTGGCATGAGACGTGATGCTGAGTGCTGACATTCTACGTAGCGTCAAAGCTGTCGTCAGTGCTGGTACAGACATTCTGCAGTGCCGCGGAGGCACCGAGTATAGCACTGCTGCTGCTGCAGATGGGAGGGTTTGCGAATAAGTACACAATTGGTAGAGGGTGTATTAAGGAGATGGAGGGCGGGAATAATGGATTGGTAGAGAAATGAAGAGTGGAATT